AACGCCGACTTCTCTAGTGGAATCTAAGGCCGAAGAGCCTAAAGCTGATGATGTAAACGTTGAATCTGATGATGAAGAGGCCCCCCTTGCTACCGAGGGCACTGAGGGCACCGCCGCTCCTAAAAAAAAGAAGAAGAATAAAAAGAAGAAGAAGAAGGCCAAGCAGACTGACCCTCCCACCATTGATATTGCCAAGCTCTTTGCAAACAAAATCTACCCAGAAGGTGAGATTTGTGACTACACTTATGGGGAAGAAAATCTCAAGAGGACAACAGACGAGGAGAAGCGATACCTTGACCGCCAACGCGCAGACGATTACAATGACCTACGCAAGGCCGCAGAGGCACATCGTACTGTCCGCAGTTACGCTAAAAGAATGATCAAACCTGGCATGCTAATGTGGGATATTGCAAACAACATTGAAAATGCAACTCGTGCTGTCACTGGTAACTTACACCCACACGAGGCCGGTGTCGGTTTTCCAACGGGTCTGTCCATCAACCACTGCGCTGCCCACTACACACCCAACAAGGGCGACAAAACTGTGCTGGCCCAGGATGACGTTCTTAAGGTTGATATTGGTGTTCATGTCAACGGCCGCATTGTTGACTCAGCGTTTACAATTGCGTTTGAAGAAAAGTATGATCCTCTTCTTGAGGCTGTCCGCGCTGCTACCAACACTGGTATCAAAGAGGCTGGCATAGATGTGCGTCTGTGCGACATTGGTGCTGCTATTGAAGAGGTTATGGAGTCTTACGAAGTTGAACTTAATGGCCAACTACACCCCATCAAATGTATTCGTAACCTCAATGGTCACAATATCGACCGATACCGCATTCATAGCGGCAAGACCGTGCCTATCGTTAAGAACGATGACGAAACCAAGATGGAGGAAGGCGAGTTTTTTGCTATTGAGACGTTCGGCTCAACCGGTAATGGTTACGTCATTGAGGACGGTGAATGTTCACATTACGCGCGCAACCCGGACGCTGGCAATGTCCCGCTGCGTTTGAACAGTGCAAAGTCGCTGCTTGCAACTATTGACAAAAACTTTGGTACACTGCCGTTTTCACGTCGTCAACTTGATTGGCTGGGTGAAGATAAGTATTTGCTTGCACTCAACACTCTCGTGCGCGCTGATGCTGTTCACGATTACCCACCACTGCTTGACAAGGAAGGTTGCTACACCGCTCAATATGAGCATACCATTATTCTCAGACCGACTTGCAAGGAGGTTGTTTCACGTGGTGATGACTATTAATTGAACACAAACATGAACATTTTCTAGTAATAAATTCAAAAAAAAAACTTTTGCCTATTAATTGTGTAGTTACTTTATACCTCTAAAACCTTTATTTTAATCATCTATCTGATACTGGATTGTATATTTGTATCTATATATATACAAACACAAATTATGCGTCGCTCATCTCTTCATCTGAGTCAGAGGCCTCTTCCTGTTTGTCGTCTTCCAGATCGCTCATGCCAATCTCGCCATCACTACCACCGCGAATTTTGCCAGATCGCGCGTCGGCCGCATCAGCCTCCAAACTCTCGCGTAAAATACGCGCGCGCTCCTCACGAATCTGGCGCTGCACTACAACGTACGTACCCAACGGTGTCTCTTCCCACTTGATATCAGCCAAGAATGCACGCACCTTGTCTGTATCTGTCGGCGCCGCATCACTAAGCTGCTCTGCGCGCGAGTCCTGCACATACTTACTGTGCGCCTCAATGCGTTCGAGTAGCCGTTGAATTTGACGGTTGAACTTGGCGTTTTTGCTCTTCTTTGTAAAACGCTTTAAGGTAATGACTGAAGGGACCGCAAGCTCTGGAAACGCGGGGCTAGTGGCATGTAAAATAAAGAACTCGCCAATGAGATCAACAAGCTCCTCACATACGCCGTCCTGGTACACACGTGTACCAATGTATGACTTAGTTGCACGAATGTTGTGCTCAAAATCAAGCGCCTTGAGAGTGCTGGACTTAGGTGACTTGGTGATAACTGTCGAGCTAAGAATCTCCGTCAACAGCGGGAGCACTGGGATGTAGGTTTCTGTAGCCTGTGATAAGCGCAGTAGACTACGGATAAGATAGAACCGCAAAGGAAAATATTGTGGAGTAGGAACCAGTCTGATCGCACCAAGTGTGATCTGAACTAAAGGGTAGATGAGATCTTTTAGTAGCGACGCTTCCGGATTGACAGTGTTGCACTGTGCACACAACGTACGTGACCAAAAGTCAAGTGAGTTAGCGTACTGCCAGTTGTAAACAGCCTTGTACGCTTCAGGCGTTTTGTTAACCAAGCTGCTACGAAGATGAACTGCAAGCTGACGAATAAACTGAAAACTGACCTGGTATGACAGCAGAGGATCGATAGCGTACAGCGTGGCGGCAGAATTCTTTTGAAAGTTGAGACCTGGCATAGTATGAATATTGGTGCGGCGCGAGTTCTTCAAAATGCCAGAGTACGTTGCTTTGAGGATGATCTCAAGAACTGATTTAGAGTGCTCTTGAGCGGCGGTTTTGAGGAATGCAAATGCGACCATCTTAGATTCGTCTTCTTTGGCTGAAGACCAGAGAGAGACAACGGCATCAACAAGCTCTTTGAGTTGCTTGCGGAAGGATAGGAAATACGGCAGCAGCGAGTGAATGCTTTTGAGCACGAGATTAGCAATATCCTTGTCATGGATATCTTCGAGTAGCACAGCGAGTGCTGCAGCATGCGCCTTGAGTGAGCCAGAAAGCGTCTTGAACCGCTTGTTCTCACTTGAAACGTATTTCGAACCAGCTGCCGTCTCGGCGAGGGGAATGTTGTGCTGAACGGCTTCGGGAATGACCTTGAGCGTGAGGAAAAGCAGTGAGTTGAAAACCTCAGGGTTGGTAAGAGTGTAAACCGAGGCATTGACATCGTCAGATTCAGAAGAGCGCACAGCACTCTTAAAAGCAATAAGCACCTTACGGATAGTCTTGATCGAATGGGTTGTTTGCAGGGATTTTTTCCACGCGTTAATTGTTGCCATTGTCAGTTCGCGGTCGTCGGCTTCCTCCTTGACAGCCTTCTTTACTTTAGGAGCCTCTTTTTCTTCATCTTCATTCTCAGAAATATCTTCAACATTCTCTTCTTCTTCTTCGTCTTCGTCACTACTAAGAGCAATATCTAAAAGACCCTCATCGTTCTCCTTCAGGAACTTGTAAAACTCAGGATCTTTTTCGGCCAGATTCTCGATCGATTCCTTGTAGTCTTCCTTTTCATTGGCAAGTTTCTTGGCAGCCTTTTCTGCTTTCTTAGCCTTTTTCTTTTTATCCTTGTCGATATTTTCTTCTTTGATTTGACTGTTGAAAAAGTTCTCAATATCGACAGCTTCCTCATTGTCGTCAACAGGTTCATCATCTGCAGACTGGGTAACCTGTTCTTTGATCTGGCTCTTGATCTTAATAGCCTTTTTACTGTCTTTCATGACAGAAGCCTTACTTTTGGCTTTTTTAGTAGCCTTGACAGACTTAGCGGTAGCAGCACCCATTGTTCTGGCGATTGTATATAGTCCTTGGTTTGATGATTCGGTGATTTGAATTTTTCACTTTTCAAAGAATTTTTTTGTTTGTAGAAGTCCCAGTCTAGTATGTACTCAAAACCTTCTGAGAAACCGAATATTTCAGAACGCCCTAGCCCTGGAATCACAAAAATAAGTGTGTTCCAGATCAGACCTTCTTCACAGCTCTGATACCTATAAGATTGCAGAAATAATAAGAAAACAAGATAAAGGAAACAATAATTCATGGATGATTCAAAAAGTTTTATAAATTTTTCAACCGATAATATTTATGGAAATGTTCTTCTCAGCAGCGTAAGTTCCGTAGAAATATCGCCTTTGAAGATATCAGGATTAGAAAAAGAAGACCAGATGCATTTGATAGGGGATCCAAACAAAAGAACAGATAAAAAAGTATCAAAAAATCACTATCGTGTAACTAAAACAAAATTTTTGTCGCCTTTGAAAACAAAAAAAACTATTGAAAAAAAATGTGTACCGCCAATACTAGAAAAACCGAGGTCAGATGCTTTTGAACCCAAACTAGAAACCCAAATGGTACCATCAGCATGCATAGATGCTTTAAACGCCATTCTTACTTGCGATGAGCGTAAACTTGATTTTCGAATCCAGAATTTACAGCGTCAAATATCAATCGCGCGGCAAGCACAGAAACATCAGACTAGTGCTGTAGATAGCGTACTACAGTCACAAACTGAAAAATGGCGACTCGCGGGACAAATGGCGTCTAACTTTTTGCTAAATGTAGCAGGGATTCGGGTAACTCAGCGGGGCGGACTACCAGAATATCTTAAAAAAGAGCGTGAGCGTAAACTTCGGCAAATAAGTGAGTACCGCGACGAGCTACCGGAGTTTGAAGATCTTTTTCCAAAAATTGATGAAATTGGAGGAGTAAATGCACTCTCACCAGATGAGCGAGCTCAGTTTGAAGACATGCGCATTGAATACGAAGCTGCTGCTGAGCAGCGTGTGCGTGATATGGAGGCCGCGCTTCTGCAAGAATTTGGGCGAGTCGAGGAAGTGCCACCCGAACTTGACATGAAGCATCTTTACATGCTTATGAAGCTTGACCCCAAAATTCTTTACCCTACTGGATTTGATAACGCCATGGTGTGACACTAATAATAGTAATAATAATAGTAATAATAATAGTAATAATAATAGTAATAATAATAGTAATAATAAAAAGTCAATATACAAAAATAAGTTTTCTTAAATTTTTGATCTGGAGAATTCGGCGCCATCGAATGCCTGAAACACATAAAGCGCGCTGAGAACGCTATTTTTAAAGTCTCATAGAAATAAATGTTTTTGAATTCCATGTATATTTTTGTTATTATTATTTTAATTATGTAACTATGTGATGTAAGGACAATAAACAGATTTTCTATCTATGTGTGATACGTATAAATACTTGTAAATGGTATTAAAAATAAATAAAAAAATCTCGGCAACGGGGAATTGAACCCCGGTCCCCCGCGCGCTGTTATAACAAGATAACTTTGACAGGCGGAAATTCTAGCCACTAAACTATTGCCGACTATTTTTATTTAAAAATTCGAAAGTTTACTACAATCATGTCAAGTCGGTTATTTACCCTTGTCTGACTAAGTTTTTTTTATTTGTCAACGTTTTGAGAGGAGGTTAAAAGCATTCAATTTTTCAAAAAAGCAAAATCATACTTTTGACAGATTCAAAAAATGGTATATTGGCTATCAAGCCTCACAGGTTTATCAAAAAAGTGTCTTTCCTTGATCAACCTTTTGAATTCCATGTCTTCTTTGTATATCTTTGTTACTATTTTTTTAATTATGTAACTATGTGATGTAAGGAAAATAAACGGATTTTTTATCTATCTATATTTTACTTTTGTCTATATAAACTAGCTAGTTTCCTTTATAATTTTGTTTCTGATGAATCAATCAATTATCTACTAATATTTAAGCCAGTAACTTCACTGTCTTCACGGTTCTCATACCGTCGGTTTTCAAGGACCTTCGGTCCTTTCCGGATCTCCGTTATTAAAATTTTTACTCTTTTACTTGTCGTGTCGTCGTTGTGACCATCATCGCCACCTCTTATTCAATTATTCAATCATTTCTATTATTTGTATTACTCATGTTATTCATGATATTCGTGATATTGATGGCATTTTATATTACTACTTACCAATCGCTTCCTTTCGCTCTGTCTCTATGTCTGGTGGCTAGCGTAGCGAGCCACCCATCGCTCAACACGGATCCGCTTTATTATATATTTAAAAAAATATTTTTGGTACTATCAGTCTCACCTAAAGCGCGCTGAGAACGCTAATTTTGAAGTCTCATAGAGACAAATGTTTTTTTGAATTCCATGTCTTCTTTGTATATCTTTGTTATTATTATTTTAATTATGTAACTATGTGATGTAAGGACAATGAACAGATTTTCTATTTATCTATCTACTATCAGTCTCAACAGACTAGAATTTTATTAATATTCTGTTTTTATTTTTATTTACATTTAGAAAGGTTTTCAAGCAATTTTTAATTACCCGATTAATCAAAAAAGCAAATGTTTACTATGAAAACCTTAAATTATGGTACTTAGACTAATACGTCTCACACAGTTTATTTAGAAGTGTCTTTCCTTGATTTTAAGTTTAATGTCTTTTGTATATCTTTATTATTATTCAAATCATATAACTATATGATGTAAAAACGGTGAACAAATTTCCTATCTATTTGTGATCGTGTTTTACGTAAATATTTTATGTTAGGGCAGTAAACCGACTTTTTTTTTCCATGTATTACAGGCGTTATAAAAACTACCCGCACCCCCTGTAAACCTGGTAGTTTTTAAATTTAAAAAGTTATGATATATTACTTAAATCACGTTTTTTACTCTGAGGTTTATTTTTCAGTTTTTCAAAATAAAGGTAAATAAAGAAAAGAAAAAAAGGAAAAACACTTTTTTTTTTAATTTTTTATTTTGCTCACTAAAGAAACAATAACAGTAATATATAATTTTTTGCGATATATTAATAAAGCTAATTCCTGTATTCTTGAAATTTCAACAGCTCTTTCCCGCCTCTATCCTACTCATCCCCTTTTTATTCATCAAAATTGTATTTTTCTGTTATCTATCTCTAAAATCAATAGTCACCCCATCCCCGCCATGACTTTGTTTTTGCAACTGTGCGCTAGGATCAAGAACGTTTCGTTTCACGAAAGCCTAGACATGGGCGACGCACCCGAGTACATGACACTGCGGGGCGTGGGGACATATACGAGATGGCTTGCACAGATGAATGCTGTATTTTCATCAATAAATCCCGCCCTGACATATTACGCCGAAACTGGAGTAGTACCAGAGTTTCCAGACATGGATATATCAGATCTCGCGCGCACACAGTTACGAGCCGCACTTATTGCGCTTGAATGTGTACTTACACGTAAAACAGTGCGCTGCGCTGAGCGCGACTTTCTCGTGGGCAGCTGCGCTGGCGCATCACCATTTGCTGCGATTCGCGCGGCGTATGGTGCTGGCACGATGGGAAACATTATAATGGCAGCAGACGAAATACTACGGCTGCATGAGCGTGCTAAATACGCTCGTACTGTTGATGAGGCTGTAGATATACAAAAAAATAGCATTGCATACGCTGAGTACGTTGACCGCTTCTGTGATACTCAAGCATTTATGTTTATAAGTCTTGCTTTTCAAGTAGGTGGCCGTGAAATGGCGGACAAGTATGCTGGGAAGCCCGTTGATGAGGTTGTTAAAACAATTCAGTACTACGGGTCAGACCTTATTAAACATTTATATCAAACGCGTGACACCCTTGTCCCTAATTTGGATGAGCTTATGAACGACGAAGACGGCGATCTAGATTTGACGGACACTAGTAGCGTCAATGCCGGTGTTGTGAGAAAACGCGACAATGACGAATATGAAATTTTTGATGAAAACTATTTTAGCAAGCGACGCCGGACGTAGCTTCTAGCTTTATGTTTGATTTCACTATGCTTCAATGATACACCAAATCTAAAATTGAAAAACAGATTATTTGTCAAATGAAAGTGACATTACCTAAAAGACATGTTTTTTTCATATTAAGAGTGAACTTTTGGATTTGAACTCTTGTTAATACGCATTATTTTTGATACTCTTAATTTAGATGAAGATCAACAGTGTTTTTTTTTTTTTTTTTTTTTTGGAATACGTATTTATACGTACATAATTTTTTCATTTGTATCACTTTTTCAAAAAAAAAAAAAAACTCTTTAAAATAATAACTTCTGACACCAATACTCGCTCTGAAAACTGGATATTGATACACAACGCCACTATATATTTTTTTTTGCTTGGACTATGTGATTTGAGATATTGATTGACATAAATTTATTGCGTAGGCGATATGTTGCAAAAAGTAATAGTATACTAACTTGGCGTATTAAGATTCAATTGCTAGTCAGATCATTTTTATCTAAAATTATTTTACTAAATACAAGGTTATCTTCTCAATTTTAATATTTGTTTCAATTTTTTTCAGTTAATGAACCTCCATGATGTTTGTTGGAAGTTTCTGTAATCTGATTAAAGAATTATCTTTTGTACGTTACTTCCAAATTACCCTAACCTTTTCTGTATGTTTATCTCAGATTCACACACCCACAGTGCTTGATACCCTTAATTAAGCCCTTCTACTACCACCAAAACACTATCATTACCTCCATAGCCAGCCACCACAACAACATTGATAATTCCTACACTACAATAGAATTAAAAAATAATCATGTCGCAAGAATCAGATATGTCTGTCATTCTGGTTTCATCTGGATACGATCAAACCATCAAGTTTTGGGAGGCGCTGAGCGGGATCTGCTCGCGCACAATCCAGCATAACGACGGGCAAGTTAACCGGCTTGCAATTACGCCAGATAAAAAGTATATAGCAGCTGCAGGATCACGGTCAATTAAGCTGTATGATATAAAGTCAAATAATCCAAATCATACGCTGTCGCTGGACGATCATACAGCAAACGTGACTTCAGTTGCCATACAGGCCGAGGGCAAATGGCTGGCTTCAAGTTCAGAGGATGGCACAGTCAAGGTGTGGGACATGCGCACAGGAAACGTTCAGCGCAATTACAAACATAAGTCGCCTGTCAATGAGGTTGTGATTCATCCAAATCAAGGCGAGCTGATTTCGTGTGATGATGACGGTAACGTCCGGATCTGGGATTTGAGTGAAAACACATGCACTCACCGGCTGATTCCGGAGGATGACGTACCAGTGAGGTCTGTTTCTGTGGCGTCAGACGGCACTATGCTGGTAGCAGGCAACAACAAAGGAAATTGTTATGTGTGGAACATGGCAAACAATAAGGACGTGACAATGTTGCAACCTTTGACTAAACTCAAATGCCATAGTAAGTATATCACAAAAGTTCTACTGTCACCAGATGTGAAACATCTAGCAACATGCTCCGCTGACTACACAGCGCGGATCTGGTCGACAGAAAATAATTTTGCGGAAGAGACAGCGTTAGATGGACACCAGCGGTGGGTATGGGACTGTGCATTTAGTGCGGATTCAGCTTATCTAGTGACGTCGTGTTCAGACCACTATGTACGATTGTGGGAGTTGGCCACGGGAAGTATTATTAGACAATACAGCGGACATCACAAGGGCGCAATATCTGTTGCGCTTAATGACGTGTGAAAAGCATAATATGATGTTTATAGCAAGTCGGTAGAACGGGGATTGATTACTGAAGTTTTCTTTTATAATTACGTTAATTTTTTTTTTTGTCATTGTTATTACAGGTCTGGTAGTGATGACATTATAGATTTTGTAGACATCATATAGCATCATTTCTTCATTAATAATCTTTTTATGTATTTTTGATTTCAAAAAAATTTTGGTAATCAATAAGGTGCCGCCTATGTCCGGAACGCAGATAACTCATATACGATGACATAGACCACGGCACTAAAAAAAAAAAAAAAAACGTACGTAAATCCAGTTTGGTTTCAACGGATGACATATATACTTCTTGTGCAGTTGGCGGGCAGTATGGCATAAGGTTGAGAAACGGTGAAAGATAACAAAAAAAGCGATGACTACAAAAGCACAAAACAATTAATTATATGCATTAAAAAAGCTGTAAAAACAAAATCTTGTTAAACAATATATATATGGATTCTAGCCAACTGAAGTACTAGAATCAACGGTGACTCGTCCAATACGATGCCGTGTCGTGGCTGTTCAGAAAGGAGCACACTATCAACCCTTTTTTATTTATTTTATTTTTAGGTTTTCTGGGTTGTCATATTCACGCATTGCAGCGGCAGTCGGCAGCATAAGAAGAGTGGGGTTATCTCATGGCAGCTCTTTTTTTTTTTTTTTTTTTTTTTGGTTTTGTTCATTATTCTTCTTTTCTTATAGTCTTCTTATCTGCCATAACACATCTTATAAAAGTAAAGAATAAAAAAAAAAAAATAGCAGGCGGCTCAGTAAAACCCTGCCTAATCTGAAGGTCCTAATAGTGTTCTG